CACACCTTCTCATTCAATGCGTTTTCTTTATTTTCATGACTATTTACATTGTAGATTCTCACTGAAGGCATCAAAACTATGAATGAACACATGTGGAGTTATGTACTTAACAAAAAAAGGTGAAATAACTGAAAACATGTTTTATATTCTAGTTTCTTCAAAATAGCCACCCTTTGCTCTGATTACTGCTTTGCACACTCTTGGCATTCTCTCCATGAGCTTCAAGAGGTAGTCACCTGAAATTGTTTCCACTTCACAGGTGTGCCTTATCAGGGTCTGTACTGTAAATATATAAAAATATGAACACACAGACATATAAACATATAAATATATGAACACAGAAACATATACATATATGAACACACAGACATATAAACATATAAATATATGAACACACAAACATATAAATATATGAACACACAAATATATATAAATATATGAACACACAAACATATAAATATATGAACACACAGACATATAAATATATAAATATGTGAACACACAGACATAAATATATAAAAATATGAACACACAAACATATAAACATATAAATATATGAACACACAAACATATAAACATATAAATATATGAACACAGACATATAAATATATAAAAATATGAACACACAAATGTATACACATATAAATATATGAACACACAAACATATAAACATATAAATATATGAACACACAGACATAAATATATAAATATATGAACACACAGACATATAAATATATGAACACATACACATATAAATATATGAACATATAAATATATGAACATATAAACATAAATACATGAACACACAAACATATACATATAAATTTATGAACACATAAACATAAATATATGAACACATACACATATAAACATATACATATATACATTTATGAACACAAACATAAATATATGAACACATACACATATAAATATATGAACACACAAACATGTAAACATATACATATATAAATATATGAATACATACACATATAAACATATACATATATAAATATATGAACACATACACATGTAAACATATACATATATAAATATATGAACACATATAGATATATGAACACATACACATATAAACATATAAATATATAAACATATCAACATATAAATATATAAACACATAAACATATAAATATATGAACACATAAACATATAAAGATACACAGGACTCCAGTCGCAGCCCCTGAGTGTAGCTTTAAATCATCCTGAAACATCATGTCTCTACAGTTTTGTCCATGTGACCTGCATCAGACGCAGAGATGAGTGTCAATGACATCACAGTGACCTCATCACTCACTACCAGACTTCCCTCCTCTCACACACACACACACACACACACACACACACACACACACACACACACGGACACGGACATGGACACAGCGGTGGACTCACAACACTCATTTGACAACATGGAAAAGAAAAAAAAAAAACGTCTACAGATCTGCAGGTCATACACGAGCCAGTCGTTAAAAAAACAACCTCACACTGACTCCAAAAATGATCACAACAGTCTGAAGTCCTGATTTAAACTGTCTCCATCAGTTACTGCACTCTGAGAGATTTACACATGACTGATTGATTTATTGATCGCCCTCAGTGAAATTGACCCACCAAAATAAACAGTGAGTGATCAGACAGCAGCAGGTCTGACGAACAAACTGGTTTCACTGGGTCTTACACTGTGTGTGTGTGTGTGTGTGTGTGTGTGTAGTTACACTGATCCTCAGGTGTCCATGGACCTATTGAGGGCGGTGCTTCAGCCCAGCTTCAACGATGACATCATGGCTGTGTTCAGGAAGTACCATAAGGTGAGGGATGGATGGTTTGTGAGCAGGTGTGGATACCTGCTGATAGCAGAGCTCCGCCTACTTCAGAGCAGCTTGTTTAAAGTTCTCAGTAGTTCATCATCATCATCATAATCATCATGAGCCCAGGTGTGTTTGAGACGGACACATGAAAAACCGATGAGGCTGTAACTCCTTCAGGTCTGTCTGTTCCTGCCGGTCCTTCACCCGTCATCTCCATTCTAAACACTGGGTAACCATGGTAACAGCGGTGGTTACAGTTTCTATTGTAGTGAAACAAATATAAAGAATGCACATCCTCCGAATCAACTTATTCCAATCGGTGCTGACATCAAAGGGAAAACTTAAGAAATCAGGATTTGTCGCACACGATGTATTGCTGCTCCCGTGCTTTATTCCCACACCAAACAAATAAGCAACGTTTCGCCTCATGTAGGAGGCTTCATCAGGCTTACAGAGTAAAGGTCAGTCCCTCTTTTTATAGCATGTCCTCCAATAAGGGTGAGGCTATCTGGAGACCTACAAAATACATATAGGAATAATATTATTTCTCAATCAATCACAGATGCATTTTACCATGTTTTTCACAGATTCAGTTAATAATAATAAAAGTGTATTAATTCAATCTGTGAAAAACATGGTAAAATGCATCTGTGGCGAAACGTTGCTTATTTGTTTGGTGTGAGAATAAGGCACGGGAGCAGCAATACATCGTGTGCGACAAATCCTGATTTCTACAGTCTCTTTTGTACCCACTAACATTAGTTCTGAGTCCACCTCCAGCATACGCACCGCAGGCATGTCAAGAGCCCGACCTCAGAGTTACAGGGAGTGCGATTGTCACGCAGCCATGTCTGGTTATCTCTATTTAACATTTGTTATCTCTACGTAACAAAGTTAGTTATTTCTACACAACATTTGTTATCTCTACGTAAAATTTCTTATCTTTACCTAACATTTTGTTATCTCTACGCAACATTTCTTATCTCTACATGTTTGTAATCTCTACGTAACATTTGTTATCTCTACGTAACAAATTCTGATATCTCTACATAACGTTTATTTCTACATTAACATTTGATATCTCTACCTGATGTTTGTTATCTCTACGTAACAAAGTTTGTTATATCAACGTAGCAAACATTATGTAATTTTTGTTATCTCTACCTAACAGTTTGTCATCTTTACGCAACGTTTGTTGTCTCTACATGTTTGTAATCTCTACGTTTGTCATCTCTACGTAATGTTTGTTATCTCTACATTACGTTTGTTATCTCTATGCAACATTTTTTATCTATACGTATACGTAACATTTGTTATCTCTATGCAACAAAGTTTATCTCTATGTAAAGTTTATCTCTATGCAACAAAGTTTATCTCTATGTAAAGTTTATCGCTATGCAACAAAGTTTATCTCTATGTAAAGTTTATCTCTATGCAACAAAGTTTACCTCTATGTAACGTTTGTTACCTACGTAACAAAGTTTGTTATCTCTATGTAACAAAGTTCTTTGTCTCTACGTAACGTTTATCTCAAGATAAGAAAATAATTTGTGATATCTGTTAAAGCACGGCTGTTCTTGGCATTAGTGGAAATAAATGTTTGTACGTCTTTCTAAACCCTATCCAATACAAACAGTGTTGGCTGGTTGCTATGATTACCAGGTGGAGGAGGCAGATGTGTCAGTAAAGTTCTCATGCTGTTGTTTTTGTCGCAGTTCTTTGAAAAGGCAGCAGAGAATGTGAAGGAAAATGTTGGAGACGACGTTCAGACTGACCAGCTGATCAGAGAGGCCTGCAGGAACGTTCTAGAACATGTGAGCTCACTCCCTGTTGTCTGACCTGTGACCCAGCTGGTCATACGCCCACCAGTACTCACCTGTGTCTCTGTGATGTTGTGCTTCACTTCCTGTTTTACACACTAAATGTTCAGACACAGACAGCAAATGATGTCAGTGATGATGTCACTGTGACATCACTCCAGTTGTTCTACAGGGTTACTATGGTCTCCTCTGATGTTATCACCAGGCCAAGCAGCTGTTTCCAGAGGGGGAGGTGAAGAGGGCGGGGTCAGAGGTCGCCATCAAGGTAGGACATGACCAGTGAGATCATCTAGAGCCTGCTGTGACCTGTTCCAGTTCTGATGTGGTTCTCTGTGTCCTGTCAGAGGTCCAGAACTGCTGATGAAGACTACATTCAGAGAGGAAGCCCCCTCCCAAAGAAGGTACCCTTACCTCTCAGGTGTTTGTTTGGCAGTCAGATGACCAGGTTCAGGTGACGTCACTTTACCAGACGTTAAGGACCACAGTATCAGTCAGACCAGTAACCTCTGTGTGCTTCTAACTTTTGACCGACAGGTGTGTCACGTGACAGACAGGTGTTCCAGGTGACCGACAGGTATGTCAGGTGACAGACAGGTGTTCCAGGTGACCAACAGGTGTGTCAGGTGTGTCAGGTGACAGACAGGTGTGACAGGTGACAGACAGGTGTTCCAGGTGACCAACAGGTGTGTCAGGTGTGTCAGGTGACAGACAGGTGTGACAGGTGACAGACAGGTGGGTCAGGTGTGTCAGGTGACAGACAGGTGACAGACAGGTGTGTCAGATGTGTCAGGTGACAGACAGGTGTGTCAGGTGACAGACAGGTGTGTCAGGTGACAGACAGGTGTGTCAGATGTGTCAGGTGACAGACAGATGTGTCAGATGTGTCAGGTGACCGACAGGTGTGTCAGATGTGTCAGGTGACCGACAGGTGTGTCAGGTGACAGGTGTGACAGGTGACAGACAGGTGGGTCAGGTGTGTCAGGTGACGGGTGTGTCAGATGTGTCAGGTGACAGACAGATGTGTCAGATGTGTCAGGTGACCGACAGGTGTGTCAGGTG